TGCATTGGGAGGGAAAGAATAATTTGAAGAAACTAGGGAAACAAAATAAAGAGCAAAAAAGAGAGTGAACATGTGAGGTATTTTGGAAGTTAGAAATTAGAAATATAATCGCACACTGATCAAACCATTTCTGGTGCTAGGTTCCCAGGCAGTAATTATACAGGACTCCCACCAACAGGATGTGTGGTCCTAATGGCTACTGTTTTTATGGTTCTAGGAAATAGCAATGAGAGCTTAGAAGACCACTCTGGCCCTTCAAAGGAGGGAGGGAGAGGACTGGACGATGAAGAACAATGTGATGCTTTTGGAAGGAGATGATAGCAGTGATGGAGGTGGGGATGGGAGAAAGGCCACTGGGGCTTCAAATTCTGTCTCTACTATGGAAAAGAGAATTTTTTTTAACATGATGAAAATGGAAGAGTTGAAGATGAAAACCAAACAAACAAAATGCCAAGTGAACCTGAAAAAGATAGTTAAGAAACTTCAAAAAAAAAAAGACCTTTGCTAAAATGGAATAATAATGTTCAATTGAAAAGTTCCCATCAAAGGAGTTGTGTACAGATTTCTCAAACTGAATTTATTCATCAATTCAGATTTTTCAATCAATTGATCAGTTAATTAAGCACCTGCTCTAATTCTAAATACTGAAGAAAATACTGAAAAAAAAAGAATGAAATTGTCCCTCCCTTCAATAACCTGACATTCTAGAGTGAGAAGCAAAATGTTCAAATAAAAGCTTCTAACAGAATATATACAACATGAATACAAGTTTGGGGAGAGAGTACTAAGAGCAGTGGGATCAGGAAAGATTTTGTGTAAAGGATTCCAAGGGGAGTAGAGATTAGGAGTTAGTGCATTCCAGACATAGAAGATAGTTGATACAAAGGTCTGAGTATGGGAGATGGAGTGTCTTTGGTGGGGCAGGGTTGAGGAGGGAACAACAACAAGGTCCAGTATGGTATATGATGAGGAAGAACGTCTAAGAATTCTGGAAAAATAAGAAAGACAAAGTTGTGAAGATCTTTAAATGCCCTACAGAGAGTTTTATATTTGATTATAGAGATAATAGGATATTCCTGGAGTTTACTGAGTAGGCCCATGACATGATCAGACTTGTACTTTAGGGAAATTATGTTGGCAGTTATTTGAAGGATGAATAAGAGTGAGGAGAGACTTGAGTCAGGGAGACTAGGTAGGCAGCTATTGCAATATTTCAAGCTCCAAGTAATAAAGGACTGAACAAAAGTGTTGGTTTTATTAGAGTAGTGGATGTGTGGGGCAAAATGAAAGCCAGAAGTAAATATAACACCAAAGTAGCAATCCTGAGTAACTAGAAGGATAATGTTGCCCTAGACAGTAATGGGGAAGTTTGGAAGAGAGTTAGGTTTGAGGTGGGTGGGTGGGTGAGAAGAAAGATGAGTTCAGTTTTTCACATATCGAGTTTGAGATGTTCAAAGGAATTTGGCAATACCAGACTTAAGGATGAAAATAGACAGACAGACAGACAGACGGATAGATAGATAGATAGATAGATAGATAGATAGATAGATAGATAGATAGATAGATA